GCAGTGAAGTGCACGTACGAATGTGTCTTGCAGAAGGAAAAGTTGTGTCAAAAACAGGGGGGGGGGGGGTGGGGGGGGCGGGGGCGCGATTCGGTTCAAAGTACCCCGGCAGGCAGTGGCCTCAGATGACTAATCAGTTGTCGAGAGCTCGGGAGTGCGATGACATTGGCAGCTCTCGACCATGGCGCGGCCAGCTGGCGCTGCGCCGACCTCCTAACTGCAGCACGGGCCCCATCGTCTGGCTGGCATCGCCGTAGTGCTGAAAGCGCGACAACGCCGCGATGAGCAATTGATGACAGTCTAACAATCGAGTCAGCTGTGTGCGGGCAGGCGGGCACTGCATGCAGCTGTGACAGTGGGGGAAGGATGCAGTAGAGGCGGCAGGGGTGGGCGGGCGGAGTGGATGGTGTATGGTGCCGATGTAAATGTGAGGCAGGTGTGGGTGGGTTGGTTGAGGCGGGCCTGCTCTGAGTCCGCGGCCATTGGAGCTGGGCCGAAAGAGCTTGCGGCAGTCGATGATCGAGGCAGTTTCGGATGACCTCGGTATAGCAATATGACGTGGTACGTTATGGCTACAAGAGAGGGGTCGTCATTCCCCCAAGCTTACACCATGATGTCCTCCAAAGCACTGCGCACGCTGCTCATGGCAAAGTGTGACGTCGAGTGTTTGGCGCCGAGCACAAGTCCTACGTCTTTCTGGCGCACCGGCATGCACCGGCCTGTGCTATTTCCCACCCACACCGTCAACGCTGCAACGGATGCGGGTGTGCCACGCCTGCCGGCCATTGCCGATTCAGCGCCGCAACCCGCGGGGTTACCCCAGCGACGCGACTCCGATCTGCTGAACCACCGTCAGTGCCGCAATCGCCGCACGCGCAGTAACCGGGAAGCGGAGGGGGCGTGGGGAGGGGCCCCCAGTTTCAGCAGAGACTGCTGCTGCCCGTCCTACTACTGCCTGGCGCAGCCCCCTAGCAGCCGAAATGTGGGCCAGAAGTCGCGGGACCGGGGGGGGTGTGGTGGGCGGGGGGGCCGCGCAGGCAAGTGGGTGCCCCTGGAACTCCGCCTCCGACAGATACACGATAGAGGCTCGACGACGCTCGCTGCGTGGCAAAGAAGGACTATGTTCATTGTGCTGACGTGCTATATAACGTGAAATCAGGGAACTGAGTCAGAAGGATTTTTTTTTGTCAGTGCTCGTGTAGGCAAACCCCAAAGACTTGGGGGAGGGATGAGAGCAGGTTTTATGTGAATTGAAGGCATGGTAGGATGGCGCAGGCAGGTCAATACAAATGGTGCCTCACTGCTCGTGTTTGTGAAGTATGTTTTTCAAAAGAGATAGCAACTCAAGGTAAAGTACAAGCCGTAGTCGTAAGAAACAGGACTGAGAACGAAGAAATGTCAGACAAACATTATACAAATAAGTTTTAGGTAAGAAAGTACAACGGTAACGGGCAGTAGTTGCGGCGTCGAACGGCGGGAGGGCTGTTCTGACGTCACGCGAGATGATACATAACCCTGCTGAGTGTGGTCAGACGCGAGTTGCGTTGCCTAAGCCGCGTGGAAAATGCGGAAGCGCCGTGGCCGCGCTAGTCTGGGTGTGTATGTTAATGGGCCGGCGGTAAAAGTAAGTAAGTTAGTCTTAAGTGATTGACGTAGGTGAGTGGGGCGTGTATAAGCGGGTATTAGTCAGCCAACGACTGTGAGACATTTTTGTGTTTCTAGCCCGAATGTCAGTGTGGCATAGGCGATGCGGCGGCAGCAACGGAGCGAGGAGAAAGGAGTTTTCGTCCTCGGCCTTGTTCGTGCTGCTGGGCATCATAACTTCATTGCTATTCGGCTATCGTGTCCGAGCAATAGGACGGGACGCGCAGTGACAGAGTGGGAGTGATGCGAGCACACAACAGCAAGCAGCAGTCCAACACAACAAACAACAGACAACAACAACAACAAGGCGAACAACAAACAGCAGGCACAACAACAACAACCAACAACGAGGGAAGTGTTTGACCGGGGACCGGGATTAACGAGCTGTTGGCGGCAGTCCTATTCGTACGCAGCTACTGGATGTGACAAGTTGCAGGCGGCTTGGCGTAGCGCAGTGTGCCAGAAAACTAGTAAACATCCACATTCGGAAAGCGAAGAGGTCGGGGTGGCATATGGCTGTATCCATCGTCCCAAGCGGTTACTGCAGATTTGTCGTGCAAGCCGTTAATGAAACTCGCCTACGTTTTCGGACACGAGGCATTTTGGCGAAGGCAATGGCGGTGCGACGCAGGGAGGAGTACGGGGCGGCGCTGGCCGTCTTATTTGAATGTACGGGCGAAATGCCCGTAGGATTGTGCCGCATTCCTGACTACAGGCACCGTGGGCACTGCCCGTGACGCAGGCGAGTGGGTGTTCAAGCAGTGCGAGAGAGCCCTGTACACCGCTAACGAGAAATGCTCTGCGAATTATACATTGGGCATCTGGTTCACTGGACACTGACGGTATCGCAAGCGAACTCGGACATTCACTGTCCACACGGTGCTTTCGTGGCCCGTACAAGAACACTCACGCTAAGCCGGCTACATTTAGACAACGTACATTCAGGGTAATTGGGCATTTAGAGTAAATTCATCACAGCATGCGCACTGGTTAGTAACGCGATGTACGGCGGGGGGGCGGGGGGGGGGCCGTCCTGCCTACTGCTGCGGTAAAGCGTCCAGCGTATTAGACGCGTGAATTCGACGTTTGAAAGATTGCGCAAGTAACATCCTTCTGATCAGGTAGGGCTGACGCAAAACATGCCAGATATAAGTACCAAGAGCGACATCGCCTTCCCCTAAAGATATGAACATATAAGCTTGTACGGTCGTAAAGACGTTATAGTAAGGTTGTGGCTGAACGGGTGTTCACGAGGGAATGTGGCGTACTTTGCGTTTTTTACAAAGAGCATGCAAACTTTTAAGCATGTTAGTGAAATTGCTGGCTGGTCGTGCTTCTCGGTGCACGGCGTTATTGGTCGTACCGCTTATCGCTAGTGTGGTAGGCATCATAGACTAACAACAAGACACAACCTAACAACAAGACAACGAAGAATAACAAGACACGTCGCGGTCGGGTGATTTTTTTACCTTAGCGCAGAGGGGCCTTGCCAGTTGTGTTAGGTGCGTTCCGAGAGAGCTACTGGAGGCTGAGAGGGTCCTAGTCCCCCTAGGGTAGCTGCCGGAATCGATAGCCGCCTGGACTAATCTAAATAGATGCCGGGACCGTAAAGCCGTCGCCTACTCGCACTGAAAACTGAGTCTAGCGGAGTCGACTGGCGGGCCCCCTACTCCGCTAAAACACCTAAACCCTAATAGTAAACCGGCCTAACCCTAAACACCTAACCGGCTAGACCATATCAAATAGTTTACCAGCCTGTACGTTCCGGGTGAGTACGGAACCGGTACCGCAGGGTACGTTGTCCGGCAGTCACCCTGGGGACATAGACCCTATGAGCACTACGCGAACTAACTGGAACAATGGAAGTTGCTCCGATATCAGTGATTATTTATTAACTTATGAAGTTTATTGTCAAGCGATTTTTAGCAAAACGCTGAAATAAAACATCAAGAAGCAAGCTTTGGATTTAGTAGGGTAAGGGGGGGTGTGAGGAGGTGAGAAAAAGGAAGAGGTGTGGTGGGGGGTTGTGATTGTGTTAAGTTTGGATAGGGCTATTTCCGCACAAATATTTAATACATGTACAGTGCCAATATACAGGTACTTGCATTCAGATTATAGTAAATAAGGTGGATATATATATATGCATAAGTATATATTGTATGGTATATATGATACAACATCAAAGAGGAGCTAATAATACCTTGATATATAGTTAGGTGCTCTGATACGAGGGCGAGCGCGTGGCCGCGGGGGCGAACATACAGCACGCAACAACACACATGGGCGGGGGGCACACGGAGGGGTGTCGCAGCACATGGGGTGGGGGGCACGTATCGACGGCGTGGTATGCACGTACGCGAGCATCACGCGAGGCTGGGGCGCGACGGCGCGAGCGTCGAGCGGCAGCGCAAGGGCGGGGGGCGTCACAGGGCACGTGGCGGGGCCGGGCCGCACGCACTCACCAGCACCCGGCCACGCAACAGCACGACGACACACATTGCACGACACCTGGTAAATGCACGACGGCGCGATGGGCACACAGGGGTTGGTGTGTGACGGGGGGCTTGGGTGGGGCGGTGGGGTGTGGGGGGCGCTAGGGCCGGGCCGGGCGACTGCACGGCTAGCGCAAACGGAGTACGTGGGCGACCGGCACACACGCGGCGTGCAGGCGGGTGGGAGCGAGAGAGCGAGCGAGTAGTTATATAGTTAGGGTATGGGGGCATAGGCATAGCATACATACAACCCTACATAAATAACATACATACAAGTACATACATACATACATACAACATACTAATAGCATACATACATTACATGACATACATACATACACTAGGCATACATACATTACATAGCAGTAGCATAAGCATGACATACATACCATACAGGTACATACATACCAGGTAATACATTATCATACATTACCATACATACATGGGGATAGCATACATACTATACATAACATAAATAACGGTACATACGTACATGACTTTACATACGTACTAGTTTAGCGTTAGTTATCTTACTTACCGTACGTACGTACGACGTACATACGTACATATCGTACTATACGGTACATACGTAGGCAGATTAAAGCGTATCATACGTAAATACGTACAGTACATACGTACATCGTACATAGGTAACATACGTACATTACATACAACATAACAACAGTACAATGACATACATACATACATATCATACATACCATACATACATACATACATACCATAGCATACATAGCTATACATACATACATACAGCATACATTACATACATACTTACATTACACTACATACATACATAACATACATACATACATACATAGAAAAAAGAATTGTGGTGAATAAAAAAGAGAGATAAAAAAAAAAAAAAAAAAAAACAGTACAGTACATACATAGCATACATAACATAGGCATAAGCGAGTATCGATAGCATACAGTACATACATACATACGCATACATACATACATACATACATACATACATACATACATACGTACATACGTACATACATACATACATACATACATCAAGCTTTTCTTAGGGGGTTCTGCAAATATTGATTTCTCACGTTACCGAAATTGTTCGACGCTGTGATTGTTTCAGTCGTAAACCTTTATTCGAAAAGGTTTTAGTATAGATCTACTAGCGAAGTAACGATGCATCGGGTAGGCGGCGTCTCGTGTCGGTAAAATAAATCGCAGCATCGTCCGTCCGTCTAGTCTTTAACTAAATAGGCTTTCACCTTTTTGTTCGCTCGGTACTAATTAGAAATAGCATGCGCTCAGTTTTCGATATGATCGAATTTTCTAGTATGCATTTGCATGTTGCAGACAAGAATTACGCACAAGGAAAGACGGGGCTGGTTAGCTGCTTTGTGAGCCACTGTGTTACGGACAACAAGCGAGAGCATTATGTTGGCAAGTTGCACAAATTTGTCTCCGTGGACATTTATGGAGGATGCAGGTTGGTGTATTCTGGCTACATATTAATAATGATAATAAGCGTTAAACGCACGCATATAACTGAACAGATATTAAAAATCGAAAAAGGAGGATTATTCGGCTAAGAGACGCGGCATACGGTGCTTGTGATGCTTGTGATGCATAGTATAATCAAGAGCTCATAAAAGCTCATCATCTCTATTATGAGCTCTTGGTATAATCTTACTAATCTACTCTGCATCAGATGTCGCGCATTAATTTCTCTCTCTTTCTCTCTCTCTCTCTCTCTCTCTCTCTCTCTCTCTCTCTCTCTCTCTATCTCTGTCTGTCTCGTTCCGTCCCCACATCTCACTTACCCTGTCTATCTCTTGTTATCTCATATGGTCTTATTCTCATGCTCTTGATCTGTGTTGGTGTGAGTGTGCGCGTGCGCGCGCGCGTTGTGTGTCTCTCTCTCACGATCTCTGGCGCTAACATGTGCGCGTGCTTTCCCACTCTTTCTTTCGTTCACTCACGATCTCTCGTGCTAACATGTGCGTGCGCTCTCCCTCTCTCTCTCTCTCTCTCTCTCTCTCTCTCTCTCTCTCTCTCTCTTAATTTCCCTTTCTCCTGCTCATTCGCGCTTTCTGTCTTAGTCTCTTTCAATATCTCTCTCTTTCGCGTTTTCTTTCTCTCTGTCTCTATTGTCACACTTTTTCTATCACTCACGATTTCTCTTTTTCCCACTCTTTCTACCGTTCTTTCTCTCTCTCTCTCCTTCTCTATCGCTCTCGCTCTGTCACATTCTCCCTCAGTTTCTTTTCTTCCCTAGTCCTCATCCCTCCTACCTCTGTCCATATCTCATGTTGTCACGTTTTTTCACGTTTTGCAGATCTCAACACAAGGAGTGCAGGCGTATCCGAGGCATTAAGTTCCAGCCTGCCAAGGACACCTGCATGATTGACATGATAAGCCACTACAAGTTCTACCTAGCCTTCGAGAACAGCAACTGCAGGGAATACATAACGGAGAAGTTCTGGAGGAACGCCCGCTGCAGACCAACTCCGTTCCCATAGTGATGGGGGCGCCACGCGAGGATTTGCGGCGCTTCGCTCCTCCCGGCTCCTACATACATGTCGACGACTTCGAAACAGTTGAACAGCTGGCAAACTACCTACAGGAACTGGACGCCGACGATGTGGCCTACAGTAGATACTTCAGGTGGAAGCAACTGGGTGAAGTGATAAAGAATGGCGGAAGCGCATACTGTAGGTTGTGCGAAGCATTGCACGACGTGAATGAACCTGTGAAGTGGTACGATCATATCGACACCTGGTGGAGTAAAACCGACTGCGCCGCTTCGCGAAAGGATATTGCAGAAGTAACTGGCAAAGTTTCCAGAAGGAAATGGGAAAATGGGATGTGAATAAACATTGATAAACTATTATTGAGTATTGTATTGTCTCCGTGATTAACAATAAAGGCGCCAAGTAGGAATAGAACGGTGACGATGTCGCCTAGTGTACAACTGGCCGCCGGAGATTGATGTTGTGAGAAGAACAGAGCGTGCACTGAGGGAAAAGCCATCATGGTGGAATGCAGTCCATCATTTCATCCTGCTTAGCTGAAATTGGCGCCACTTCATAGCCGCTAGATGGCACCACAAGAGATTGAGACGCAGAGCCTTAAGGTAGTATCTCACTGGGCTGCGACTGTTGGCGACAAATTGCGAACGGCATTTGCGAGGGAGATTCCAGAATGTCTCGAAACGTTCGCAGGGGTTCTCAATTTCCTCGCGTGAGTCGCAGGGCCTCGCTCTCGTGTCGCTGGAATTTTGAACATGTTCAAATAATTCGCGCGACAAATTTTCTCTCAAAATAGTCACAGAGTCGTTGCGGGTGTCTTGAACCCGTACACTTCTCAATTTAGTTTCCGTGAGTCAAAAAGTGCGAGAAATAGAAAGTGCGTGAAGTGCAGTCTTCAGCATGTCAGCCTGGTCCTCATCCAGGTTGGGGTCCTTATCCAGCAGCTTCTGCACTTCTTCTCTGAGGTCCATCTCGCTTGACGTCTGATGACAAAATGCTGGACTGGGGAGGGCCCCCGTATTTATATGGTTCAGATTTCTCAATTGTCACGCATAACTGTCGCATTCGCGCGACAGTCGCAAGTGCAAAAGATTCGCAATTTTGTTGTGTGAATGTCGCGCGACATGTATGCGAACTCCTGGCGAATTTTGGCCCAAATTTCGTTGTGCGACATACGCGAACGTGTCGTAAGTACCAATTCAGTGTGATTCCAAGTGAAAATTGTCGCTAATTCACGTATTTTCTCGCAATTGTGTGTCTCCAACTAGTCGCGAGCTGTCGCAGCCCAGTCAGATACTACCTTTAGATAGAGGTGTTGTACAACAGTAGCCTTAAGTTAATTGTTCACCGATGTTGCACTATTTCGTACCTTGAAAGGGTCTTCATTTGGAATTTTGTGCGGTAAAATTTGGGATTAGAATGAACTATAATTTGCACTATGCACGCAAGTTAGATGCATCGTATACGTCTAGATGGCATTAGAAGTGAGATTGTTATTGTCGTGTAATTGTGCCATTCCATCAAGTGGTGTAGCCATGGTGACCGGTCGGCTATTTTTGTGTTTGAAACGGGATCCGGCTATATGCTGAAAATTCTCGAAAACAATCTGGCAAATGTTTCGAGTGAAGATACGTCTTTGTATCTGTAGTGATTTAACATGAATAAAGTGTATGTCGCGAACTGCGCCGTGAGTAGTTTTAATTAATTTCTGTTCGATGCTTATTCAGGCCTGCTGCCTATGGACGCCAGGGGCGGATCCAGGGCTGAAGCTAGACAGAATTTTTCCAGATTTTAAGGGCGCATCCCCCAAAAAGGGCACACCACCCCACAGTGGCCGCCGTTAGGCGCGGAAGCACATGGCGAGGGGTCTGGGGGGCCTCCGGGTCTCTGGGCACAAAAATCAGCACCATTTGAGCACACATTTAGTCAAGCAGCAATAGCTAAAAACCATATGGAATTTTATTTCTGCATTTTGCCTGCGCTTTGCATACCAGCAATTAATGCAGAATGATTCAAGCGCTTCCCTTCTTTTTCAGATATCAAAGCTAGTTTTGTTACCATGTAAAATTTTGATTTCCTTCAAGTCCTGTCAATGAATCAGAAGAAAAAGAAAACAAATAAAGAATATAGCCAAATTCCATCAAATTGTTTTCCGTATTTTTTTAGCGCAAAATTTCGAAGGGCACTTTGAAATCTAGACCGTATTTCCCAATACGGCAAATACGGTCTGAATCCGCCCCTGGACGCCCTCTACTATAGACGCACTACTATACTGTTGTACACCACATAGAGCCCTTCTCTATCTAAGGTTTTGGTATGACGCAATACCATAGACTAAGAATGTCTTATTAAATTATTCTTAGTCTATGGTCCTACTCAACTCAATATGTAACACTCTGTATCTAAGATTGATACATATAGAATAGCATGTCACCCTTTTTATACCACCGCGGGCACATGTGTATGAGCACCTTTCTGGTATAAGCGTTAATTGTACTAACGAGTGATTGCAAACCCTACTGTTTAGTGTTTTCAGTGTAAGTTGTTTATATACGTGTACTCATCTGTTTGTTCATCCGAATGACACGTGTTGTCGATGGTTGATTGCACTGTGCTGACTGGTTTTGCTGCGTATATGTCGTGCCACTTACGCTAGGAAATTGTTGTGAAGCATTCTGTGGCAGATAAGGTCTATGTCCCCCTGACCACTGTTTGACCTGGCTCGTTTAGCTATTTCTGACTAATATATGATATATTATATATATATATATATATATATATATATTATATATATATATAATATATAATATATAGGGTTAGGGTTGGTCAGAAATAGCTAAACGAGCCAGGTCAAACAGAGGTTAGGGGGACATAGACCCTACGAGCCATACTGTGTGTATACCCCTCCCCCCATACACAACCTATGTTGCCGCTTGATATAGCAGTAGAATATCGGATATTGCGATGTCTTCTAAACGTGTGCGATGCAAGTACACCTGGTTTTATTCTTGCAACCGGGTCACGATTTCTTTTTCGTCATTTCAATCGGTGTTACATGCAGTTGACATGTAGATGGCGTAGCGAAGATCCAATAAATTCTCATTTTTAATGTAATTTCTGTTTTTGCGTTCTGATTAGGCGGGGGTCTGGTGTTGTTTTATCTGTGTTGAGTTACGTAGTGTTTGTATTTTACATAATTAACCCAGAAAACATTGCGTTAAACAGGACCAAAGCCGCAACCTGAGCAAATTTATAAGAAACTGCATCAAAATTTCGTATCTAATTGAGTAATGACGATAATACGGGGAAATACTTTTTGCGGTTTCAACAAATAAACGATGCACGTACGATACGATTGCTTTCTGGAGCCATGCATATATTTGCCATATTATTTACAACGCTTGTTTCGGGTTATGTATAATTATTAGGCATATCTTATATTTTTCTGCAAGATCTAGTAAAAAGCTGTCAACGACGCGTTGCCTGTAAACCTGCGGTATCAGTAACTGCATAATATGTAACTCCACATGCTACCAGGCTGCACTGTCCAGACATACCCTACAGGAACTGGACACCGACCACCGAGCTATTTTACACGCCTAAGCCCGTTCTGGCTTGCATAGAAGCGATTTTACATATAATATTATCTACTTAACCTACAGCCGACACTATTCAAATTCGCAGGTTAATTCAAATAATATTAGTACAAAATACAAACCAGATTATTCCCGATAAGTTATGTATATCTAATACATATTTGTGGAAGGTTTTCTGTTTGTCTGTTCTCGATACAAATCAATATGGGCCACTCTAGATACGTCCAAGGGTGGCCATTAGATGTAACTTTGGCCACATTGCCACATGGGCACATTGAATTTGACCTCCAAAGTCATCTGACGTCGCAAAAGGAAAAAAACATGAAAAAATCCTGCCCCTGCAGGCTGCAGCAGTGGTGAATGAACCGGCCATGCAACACCACTACATAAACAACGGGCCCCTGCAGAAGCAAAGCAGCAGCAGCAGCAGCAGCAGGAAATGCTGGCCCCTGCTGCACCGCGCCCCTGCAGCAACAAATAAACGGCCCCTGCCGTAACAGGATTCAAGTCAAAACAGTCAAAACATGATTCAGCTGACATTGACTTGCTTTACTGTAACTAAAGATACAGTAGATAAATAAATAAATATATATATATATATATATATA